CAATCTAACAGACCATGTTTGTGACTGTTTGTGGGATCATATAAATGTCAGGCTCCTCCTCGTCTTCACTCTTATGTCCAGCCAATGCCCGCGCAGGTTTTAGAGTGGGTGGTGGGTGGAGGAGGGGAGGCTAATGCGTAAGCGTGAGCCAATTAGGGGGGTCAGAGGGCATTCTTCCTCGGGAAAATTTTGAATTTTTAAATTCACAATGCATCTCAAATTAACAAGTGTGGTGCATATTACAAACTTTAAGCGTTGAAAAAGCGATGTCCAGAATTAACAATTTATTATGCCCGCTTGGTCAACAACTCCACTTAACAACAAATGACTTGAAATTCTCTGTATCCAGTCATCCTTCCTTCCGTAACATGAATACAATATTCCAAAATGTTTATCTTTCAAACTCTTTCAAAGTCTGTATGGTCATGGTTCCAAACTTTTAATTTGTTAATTTTGAATTAATTGTATAGCCTCGTAGGATTGGCTGCTAACTGCTTGGAGCTTGGGCCTTTGGTTCCTATTCAGATTTCCTGCCATTTTTTCCCTAAGGGGTTTTTTTCGGTAGGTTTTTTTCTGGTCAGTCTAACCACAATGTTATTGTCAGTGGTTGCCCAGCTCTGTTCATGTGTTTCACCGTTATGGCGATTAATTATTGGATAACGTTGTTATCGTATACTGTATATTGTGTGTAAGGCCCAGTACAGACGCCGTACTTCACATGAGCCGAATTGAATTCGTATTTAGGCCGACCCAAATTAATTTAGACCGGCTGAATTGATTCAGACGCCGAGCTTAATTCAGCCGAACTTAATTTAATAGGGGAAAATTGCTATTATATTGAAAAATACATAATAATAATTTATGCATTTGTTTCGGCTCATGTGAAGTTCGGCGTCTGAATCAAAGCCGGTCCACAGCCGTTATTCCCGGCTGAGCCAGGCGGGAAGAACGGCTGAGCCGATCCGAATTCATCCAGCCGTTCCGAATTGATTCAGACGCCGTACCTCGCATGAACTTAATTCATCGAATTCGATTCGGCTCATGTGAAGTACGGCGTCTGAACTCGGCCTAAGTTATAGCTTTAATTACTGTGTACATAGTCCCGGTGCTCGGCCGAAACCTGTAAAATAAACCTTATGGTATGTATTTACTGTCTGTTGCGTAGTGAAGCCGAAATTTGGCCCTTTTGTGTGGTTTAACCTCTTCTTTCACCTGCTTTCTCCACCATTAGGATCGAGTTCCCTTAGCAAAGTCGTGACCCTTGTTCCTTTGACAATAATCCACTTCTTTCTAAGCCCTATCCACGCATCTTTCGGTATCCCACAAAATAGCCACTTTTACCAAGTTCCTTCTCAATGGCATTTCTCAGTCATCGTCAGAGACGAAGGATCTTCTTGATAATCCCAAATATTTCAGCTTTCTTTTCAGAGTTGATAAACATGGTTACGCCTTGAAGCTTCAGAAATTCATTCGCAAGTATTTTCAGAAAGAGCAAGGGTCACGACTTTGCTAAGGACCGCTAAGGGAACTCGATCATACCACACAAAAGGGCCAGATTTCCATTTGGCTTACTGATGGCCACGATAAATTAAAGCGTGCATGGCTGTATCGACGGGTTTTCAAGAAGGCTTCTTTGGTTGATTAACTTGGTTAAAGTGGACTAGCGGAAGACACTTTCCGATGAACTAGAACTTGAACGTCGCATTTCCTCTCGCACAGTTTGCCTGATGATCGCATCCATTACACAAAATGGCCGACAAACAAACATGCACGTGAACAGAGCACGAATAGAGAGAGAACTGGTAACTACCCGGAAAAAAAAACTGGGGAGTAAAATAAAACTGCAGAGTGTTCTAAAAATAAAAACTGGACTGTGAAAAAATAAAACTGGACTGTGAAAAATAAAAACTGGACTGTGAAAAATAAAAACTGGACTGTGAAAAATAAAAACTGGACTGTGAAAAATAAAAACTGGACTGTGAAAAATAAAAACTGGACTGTGAAAATAAAAACTGGACTGTGAGCCTCCTGGGCCATCGTACTTAAGAGAGGTTCAACTGTATTTATTTCTCGATTTGTTTGTTTGTTTGTTTTTTATTGCTGACCCCAGCCAAATAATCCTCAGAATTGAGGGGCAGGTTTCATTGGTAAATAAATAAATAAATATTTTGTAAGGGGAAAGTGAAGATTGTATAAAACTTTGATTCGATTTTCATTGGCGGGAAATGTATTTCCTTCGCACGGTTGGATATTTTAATGCACAGAAGAGATGGTATTTTCTTCAAATTTACGAATAAAGTATTTTTTCCCTGAAACACTCAAACGGATATGGACAAAGTTCAATCAGCAGACTCGAGGGAAGGACTGTTTTCCAAAAAAGTAACTTGCTTATTCCGTTTTTTTTGTTTTTGAGTGTCTTTTTTTCTCACCTGTCTGATAATAGGTAGTATCTGATAATGCATGCATTCCAAATACCTTGCTTCAGTCACTTCTAGCAATGCTCATACCCTCGCTAGGCATTACAGTGCAACTACTCGAAGTGGGCCAGTTCTTTACACTGACCCGCTTCGAGTAGTCGCATTGTAATGGGTAATTTACCATGTTGTAGACCTGGGAGTGGGGCATTTATCTTTGAAAAGCAATTAGCTGACTGCAGATCCACATGTACATCTTTTCTTTCTCCTTGTCTCCATTTAGGAAATGCATCTTGAATTTGGTTAGCTTTCCAAGACCTGTTTGTGTGCGAGAAGTAAGGGTTATACCTGCAGGTCACAGAGTTCATACTGCAGTCAGTGAAGAGAGAAAATGGGGTATGTCAGATATATGTGACGTGGTATAATATCAGACCATAACTTAGAGTCAAGAGTTGAGTTGCCTATACTCATCAAAGTAGGGATGGACTTTGATCTCTTTAGCCTTGCCATGCTGTCATTTTCTATTGTACTAAATTATGTTTTTTCAATCTGTATTTTTAGAGAGACACATCCACCTTCTTTTAAGCTGGATTTGTTCATTCGCAATCTGGACAGACCAGCAGATGTAGTGTTTGAAAGACTTGGACAGTAAGTCATGTTCATTGTATAAGCATATAATTTATTTTTGCCAAGTCCTCCTAGTTGCATATGAGATAGAAAATACATTTATTGTTGTATCTACTGTCGTTCTGGTAATCGAAGCTTATTCAAATGATTTGTAGGCTGGAGTACAAAGAACCAAACAACTTCCAACTGGTTACATATTCCAAGGTAGGTTTTTTTTAATCATCTACATGTAAAAACACTTCTGCAAGGGGAAGGCACTAAGATGTTACCTTAGCCATTTCTATAGTGAAGCAGATGCCTCTTGTGAACAGATTACTAATATTTCATGATTGTAGTGACTGCCCACATGGCATGAATATTCACCATTTCTTACATACTTGATGGATATGATCGATAGAGCATTGCTGATGTACATGTACTCTATAAGAATAGCTGTATTAACCAGGCAACTTGAAACATCAAAATCTTTCCCCCTACCCACCCCCCTCCCTTACTAAATCCTGGGGTGGGACTCCCATATAAAAGTTTACGGGGGGTGGGGGTGGGGTGAGGACGGGGTGGTGTGGGGTTGGGGGATCATCGGAAATTTTGACAAGAACCCCTTAAAGGTACCAAAATCTTGTTTTGTGGGTGTGGATGGTAGTCTCCCCCCCCCCCCCCCCCCCCCAACCCGGTGTATAAATCCTTACTTCCTTTCAAAACTGCTCCAGGAGTCTTCAGGTATTGCCACAATCCTGCTAGGGCTTTGTTTCTCTTCTCTTTCTTTGCAAACAGCCCATTATTCTGCTAAATTTGATTTACTATCATTAGGGTGCAACAGATGTTGTTGTTCTGCGTGGGTGGTACAATAGAGTCACAATTAGCTTGTATGGTTTATTCACTGACGTCAATCAACGTCCTCAAGAACCACGCCCAGAACCAAGAGTTGAGCGGCCGCCAGTTATTGTTGAAACAAGGCCCCCCGAGAGGGAACCTGAAAGACTGGACAGAGAATCTGAAAAAGCACCCCATGAAAGAGTCCCAGAGAGGGCCGAAAGAGCTCATGACAGAGGCCCAGATAGGCCCATGAGGAGAGAGAGGAGTGCTGAAAGAGGCCCTTCTGATTCAGTCCCTAGTGAGAGGGGTACAGATGAAAGGGTTCCCGAGAGGTCTTCAGAACCAAGGGATAGGCGTGAAGAGCAGCTGATTGTAAGGGAGGAGAGAAAAGTTGGGAAAGAGAGAGAAAGAACTCCCATCAAGTCACCACAAAGGACGAAGTCTCCTCTGAGATCCCCCGAGAGTGTTACAGCAACTGTTGGTGAGAGTACTGCTGCTAAGCCAACTACCCCACCAGGGTCTCCAAGGGAGGAGGTACATATATGTAACTTAGATTTGTATGCAACAAGAGGCTAGTAGAGTCAAGTACAGTCAAAGTTCTCTTAGTGGACACCCTCGTAAGCAGACATCTCGGCTTACGGCTGCCTTGACAAAACCCTGTTTGAACTCTAGCTCATACAAACTCTGTTTTTACACAAATCCTGTGAGCGGCCAGCTCCAGTTGCGGCCATGTTTTCTGCTTCCCGAGGGTGTCCGCTTACAGGAACTTCAACTGTATTGTTCTTTTATATCAGTGGAAAAAATGTTGGACATGATATGCAGAGAGATCTTTTACAGTGTAAAGAAAATATACTTGAGTTGTTTTGTGTGTTAGAAACTGACATGCAAAAATAATAGCATTTATGTCATCTACCTACTGTTCCTTAGCAACCAGCTGGTGGGGAGTCTGGTAATCAGTCTGCTGATGAATTGTTTGAGCCGCTCACACCTGACAGATCTCCATCAAACTTGTTCATGTCTGATGAAGAGGAACCAGAAGAACCAGTGAGTAATAACAGAAGGCTGTTTTTATTGTTTAATTATAATGTGTGAAGAGGGCATATTTTAGGATTGCAGGAAAGACTAAATAAATATGCACAGGGAGATACGGTGGTCTAATGGTTAGTGCATTGGACTCCAGATCGAGCGGTCCGGGTTCGAGTCCTGGCCTGGGTCATTGTGTTGTGTTCTTGGGAAAGACACTTTACTCTCACAGTACCTCTCTCCACCCAGGAGTATAAATGTGTTCTGGCGACAAAATACTTGGGGGGAGGGGGGGGGGACCTGTGATGGACTAGCATCCCATCCAGGAAACCAGAATAAGCTCCGGCAGTGTGAGCCAGTTTGGCCCAAGTGTGTATGGCGTTCAATTTCCGCCAAAATTCAATGTTATAAATTCAGCATCCTATTTTTAATTTCTTGTTATTTTCACTATTCAACATTCAAGTTTATACATTTTGATATACCTCGACTAAACTTTGTAGTACTTATTACAATTCAACTTTGTACTTTTTACGATTCAACATTGTAGATTGTACAATTCAACATCGTACTTTTCATAATTCAATATTGTAGTTTCAAGAATTCAACATTGTACTTTGTACTTTGTGTAATTCATGATTTAACATCGTACTTTGTATTATTCAACTTGCTACTTCTGACAATTCAACATTGTAGTTTACGTAATTCAACATGCAAATTCACAACTTGCAAGTTTTCGATTTCCAACCGCAACCCAGTCGCGAGCCGTCAACGTGGGCTCAGTAATCTAACAAATTGACTCCCCAGCAGGGGAGATAAAGGTCAATCTACTCTACCCCCGACAAACTGATTTTTGTCATTCTGCACGTAATGGCGGAAAGTGCAGGGTGCATGAAGTCTAACTATGGCAAGTGCTTTCCTACGTCTTTTTTACATATAAACTTGTTAAATGAAAAATTATTTTTTGTCGCTTTGAAATTCAGCACATTTTATGTTATTTTATCCTGGAATCTTCACTGAGAACAGACTGGTTCGAATTTTAGTTAGCTACAAGAAAGTTCGTAAAGAAGGCCTTTTTAATAAACATTTCTAATTCGTAATAATATAGTTTTAATAGTCAAGCTTATCGATCTTCTCATTTACATTTTGCAGCCTACTTCAATGATGGATGACATATCATATTTGCTTGTAGCTGTCAACGATGTCCTCACAGTTTTGGATAGATTTGAAAACACTAATAATGGGGAACGAGACCTTCAGCTTCTGTTGTCTAAATTAGACTACCTCCAGAGGATTGCAGTTAATTTGGATATGGATGATTTTCTGTCAGAAATGTTTGTCCAAAGGCTGCCATTCTCCTTTCCACTGTTCTAACACTTACATTGAGCATAGAACTGATGTCCTTAACCTTAAAGCCTTGCTCAATGAAAAACGACAGTTGTTCTTCAGTTATGTGAAATGATGGCCTTCCACGTCTTTCATCTCCTTGGGCACATGCTCTATAACCAATAGACTGCTGGTTTGCTCTTTCAATTTCTAGCATTAAGCTGTGGGCTCTTCCAAACATTTCTGACAGAAAATCATCCATATCCAAATTAACTGCAATCCTCTGGAGGTAGTCTAATTTAGACAACAGAAGCTGAAGGTCTCGTTCCCCATTATTAGTGTTTTCAAATCTATCCAAAACTGTGAGGACATCGTTGACAGCTACAAGCAAATATGATATGTCATCCATCATTGAAGTAGGCTGCAAAATGTAAATGAGAAGATCGATAAGCTTGACTATTAAAACTATATTATTACGAATTAGAAATGTTTATTAAAAAGGCCTTACGAACTTTCTTGTAGCTAACTAAAATTCGAACCAGTCTGTTCTCAGTGAAGATTCCAGGATAAAATAACATAAAATGTGCTGAATTTCAAAGCGACAAAAAATAATTTTTCATTTAACAAGTTTATATGTAAAAAAGACGTAGGAAAGCACTTACCATAGTTAGACTTCATGCACCCTGCACTTTCCGCCATTACGTGCAGAATGACAAAAATCAGTTTGTCGGGGGTAGAGTAGATTGACCTTTATCTCCCCTGCTGGGGAGTCAATTTGTTAGATTACTGAGCCCACGTTGACGGCTCGCGACTGGGTTGCGGTTGGAAATCGAAAACTTGCAAGTTGTGAATTTGCATGTTGAATTACGTAAACTACAATGTTGAATTGTCAGAAGTAGCAAGTTGAATAATACAAAGTACGATGTTAAATCATGAATTACACAAAGTACAAAGTACAATGTTGAATTCTTGAAACTACAATATTGAATTATGAAAAGTACGATGTTGAATTGTACAATCTACAATGTTGAATCGTAAAAAGTACAAAGTTGAATTGTAATAAGTACTACAAAGTTTAGTCGAGGTATATCAAAATGTATAAACTTGAATGTTGAATAGTGAAAATAACAAGAAATTAAAAATAGGATGCTGAATTTATAACATTGAATTTTGGCGGAAATTGAACGCCATAAGTGTGGCTATACAGGATTTTCTCTACTTTGAGCAAGTTGTGATTGGAGTCTGTGTGGCAGAACTGTATAATACACCCATAATGTCAGATGGTACTATAAGGAGAGTTTAGATTTTGATCAGTGGTGAGGAATGTGTGCAGTGACGTAGTCCAACTCCTCCGACCTAGATACATTGTTAATGTTGATCAATTTCTTCACAGGATGGTTATGAAGAGATCCTTAGTGATGAAGAGGTACAGTATGTCTTAAAGGAACTATGTCACGATATTTTAAGTCATTTTTGCGAAGTGCAAAATCACCTTCTAATTAAAGAAAGCCTCAAAATAATAGTTTACTACGGTAGAAAAACACCAAAGAGGTAATAATAAACCAAACAGGAACAAGGATGGTTGAGGATGGAGAAGATTAAAACGGATTGTGAACGACAAACTTGAAAAAAATGGTCAATTTTTTCAAGATGCGCCATCCGTGATGTTGCTCCTTTAAGTCAACACTTATTGGACTTGCTGAGTAGGAAGACCTTTTTGGGAAAATCGGGTAAAATTCAAAAAGCTTACAGCTGCTACCAATAACATGCACCCAAAACTGAAGACAGATATTTTGGCTGGATCACGATTATTAATTTCTTGGCTATTAAAGTTGTAAAAAATTGCTGACTCAGAGCTGGAGAACTTGGAGCCATCTAGTCTCTGGGATATTCCATGTGACAAATGTTTTCTTCTGCCTTATGGTCACATAATTTTTTCATTAACAGTGTTACAAGGCTGCAAATGATTTTTTTTCTTGAAAGGACATGTGTCCGACTAAGTCACCATTTTGGTCGGACAAAACAAAAATATGAGGTCGGACATCATATTACAGTACTGCTTGATAAGCGAACCTGCTAATTAAATGCGTTGTCATGAGTAAACTACATGTAGTTTGCGTTTAGAATAAAACTCATTAGCGTTTGCGTTGGAAGGCAAAAAAAATTGTCCAGACATTGGTGTCCGACCAAAGTTGGTATTTCATCGGACATTGGCAAATTTTGGTTGGCCATTGTGCGATGACCGACTGTTATTTGCAGCCCTTGTGTTATCATTTAATTTTCTATGGACCAAAACAACACATGACTTTGTGTGTGCAGTTGTGAATGTAGAGGAGTAATTATGTTGATTATTTTTCTTCAATCTGTGTTTAGGATATGGATGATGCAACTCTAGAGGATACAGTAAGTATTAGAAATAATCTTTGTCAGCTTTTGTATAGAAAGACCCCTGATTGACAATCAAAACCTTTTTTGTTCCTCATAAATTAAAGCATGTTGATATGCATGGCCCCTTGTTGATTCTGGAAGAATTTCACCCGTAATCAAACCATAATAATGTTATTTTTGTTTTCAGGATGTACAGTTTGGTGATTTGGACCTTTACAGTGAAGATGCTTGGATGTCAGTGTCTGTTAGTTTCAACCCTTATCAATGTGACCTGTCACCTCTCACTGTAAGTTAATCACTTTTGGTAGTGTGGATGACACAAGTTTTACCCAGGTATGGGTGCCATGGGTGGGTCACTCTTACTAGCTTTTTTGGTAGAAAAATCTGACATTCATATGCACACCCCTTATTACTAATAATCGTGATTGTTACTTTTGGCGTAGGTTAAAGTTTTAAAGTTCATCTTTAAACAAAACTAGTTTGGTGTCCAGTTTAACCAGTTTCCTCTAATTCCCAGCTATATATGTGTTCACTTATTTCTCTAGGCATTTAATCCTCCGGATTGTACAGAGTATGAACAAGCCATATTGAAAGCTAGAGAGGATTCCAGTAAGTATAGTACATGACATTCACTATCTGTAATCCCGAGTGTCTACAATCTCGGCCTAAAACCTTGAAACACTTCTCTATTTTGGCACCCCGTTCCCCTTTTCAATGTTGCTAGATCCGCTAAATTGTTTAACTCAACGGATAACAACATTGAGAGGGGTGCGGGTCCTACGTGTTTCAAGGATTTTTGTCCGAGATTGTAGGTCAAGCAATCATCGCAAGTGGACACACTTTACATGTAGTGCTCGACTAGTCCTAATCCTTACATGTAGTTTCCCCTTGTGTAGATTGTACTTGCTTGCTTGAATTGCTTGCTTGCTTACTTGCTTGATCGATTGATTGATTGATTTTTCTTCTTCTAGATTCAGTAGACAACCAACAAATTAACTTGGTAAGTAAAAATAATCAACCAGACTTCTAGATTATGTCCACAACAGTTGCTTTATTTATTTACCATTAAATGGTAAACAATTTTCTTATAAGTCTTATAAGTCTTTGGTGTGACGGCAGCATAGGTTGATCTTTTTTTTGGTCACTGCAGGGACAGACGCTGTTTGAACATGTAGAGATGTGTTGCACATCTGAGAGGAATATCAAGTGAGTGGATTTTTTCTTTTTATTTCAGTCTGCTCTCTCTTTGACTTAGTTAAAAGCAAAATTGTGAACAAGTTAAAAACCTCATTTAACTGTTCTTTTCCAACAGATGGATTGAGCAAATTGAAGAAATACCCAAACTTCTTATTCCAGGACTGGTATGGCTTCATTCTGACTTTGCTATAAACATTGCTGTAAAATGTTCTATCAAAGAAAAACTAATCAATATTTTGTGTGCTACAATTTGTGGGAGTTCAAGTTTGGTCGTTAGGCAGACTT